GTCCCTATGGCTTGAAATAGGACATTGAGTGAAGGCAGCTGGCTGATCAGTCCTCTTTGAAAGGGAGGCAGTTCCTAGGTTCAGCAAGAGCTTGAGAACATGGTACTCCTGTAACATTTATAACACTCTTGTGGATAAAGAAAGGATATGGGAACAAAACAAATTTTAGTTCCTTTCAGGTACCTGGCCCTGTGCAAGTCACAACTTCTTTTAACATTAACCTTTTGAGAAACATGGGAATCAGAGGGAAGGAAAGGAACTTGCCCAAGGTCACCCCGGGGCTGGCTTCATGGGTCTGAGACCTGTGCAGTCAGTCTCCTAGGTCCCCTTGCTTATATAAGGGCCTGCGCTTGGTTGAAAGTTTCTCTGTTCTCGTCTTGAAATTTTTAATAATGTTTGAGCAAAGGGCCTTGCATTTTTATTTGCACGGGGCTCCCAAAATAGGAGAGCCAGGTTCAATTCTAGTTTGGCAGCCTCAGAACTACATGGCCTGTTCCTATGCTAATGTTGCTTTAAGGCTAGTAGGCACTCAGGACATCTAAGTTCAGGCCTGCTGCTTCTCCTTCAAGTTTTGGGAGGAACTGGGTAGAGATGAGGGAGAGCACCTTCACAGAGCCTGCAGGTGCAGACACATAGGTTCTGCCTTCCCCCTGCATCTGTCCCCAAGGGAGTGACCCCATTTTCGTGGCCTGAGTGGCTACTGTAGAGCTGAGGATTTTCATATTCATCTGTATGGATCAACTCGCTCCCAGAGCTTTATTTCCAGCTGAATAGATGCCTTACACATCTCAGCTTTACATTCCCGAACACAAAGATCACCGGAAGAACGTCCTCCCCTCCACCCCTAGACTGCAGCAGAGGAGTGGGAGGGACACCCTTGGCTAAGAATGCAATTGCAAGTGGTAATTTCAAAGCTTCAGCTAGGTCTTTGTCTAGCCTAGAGCAGCCTTTAAGGGTCTGGGCTCACCGGGACAGTTTCTTGTTCCTGGCAGGCCTGTGGGGCTGGGAGAAGGGGTAGTAGGAGGTACTAACTCAGTATCTGAGAGGCAGCCTCACAGACCGTAGTGATCTGTCCTCTTTACATGCTAGGCAGTACTTTGAGAATGAATGTATGGCTTTTGGAAATGTGGAGGATTCAGCAATTCTGAGCTGGGTAATTGGGGCAGGGCAGAGGCTTTTCTGTCAGTCACCTTGCTGGTGAGACCTTGGAGGGTTTGAAAACTCCTCTGGCCATAGAACACTACACTGTGTGGCAGAAGCCTTAATCAACATTCTAGATTCTAGAAAGACAAATTGACTCTAGAATCTAAATTCTAGAAAGACATATCTTTGACCCGTGGATGCGCTGGGGAAGGAGTAGGTTCTGGCTGAAGGCTCACATCCCAGGGAATTCCTCTGAGGTTAGTAGACACTTGGAGTATAAAGACAGGAGAGCAAGGCTAGGAACTGGGGCACCCTCAAGAGCCATGTGAGAAGGGTTTAATGTCTTAGGAACAAGAGGTTGGCAGTGCTGGGTAAGGGATTTTGGGGTCCCAGGCCCTGTTGAAAGTAGAGAGTACAATAAGATTGAGTACAGACCACCGTTGGGGAGGAAAAAAACCTTTCCTCTACCTTCTTAGGTTCTGTACCCCGAAGGCCTGTGAATTAAATTTACAAAAGACAGATTAACAACAAAAAAGAGTTTATTTACACACAGGAGTGCTCAGTGGTGAGTAACTCAAGGTAGTAGGGGATTATATGTCTAATTTAGTAGGGAAAAGAGAAGGGGGAAGAAAAAGCTTCTATGTGAAGAACAAATATATTTTTTTAGGAGAACAAAGAGGACATAAGATTTGTGACAATATTTGTACCTATGAAGATGTGAGTGGTTTTTTTCTTCAGGGTCATACAGCTCCTCCAGAGAGGAATTTTATGGTAGGTTTACTCTTGGTTTCTTTACTGGGAGTTGACCCACCCCAAAAAGGAAATCGATGGCAGTCTTCATTTCTTAGAAGTTACTGCTTTTAGTCAGGTAGGGAAGTTCCCAGAGGCTCCTTTCAGCATCTGTTAAATCTCAGATGTCTTCAGTTTAAAATATTTTATATCAACTCTGGGGTTCTGAATGGGGCCTTACACCACATAGCCTGGCAGTGGCTCAATGAGTATTTTCTTTTTTTCTTTCCTTTTTTTTTCTTTTTTTGGTTGACCTAGAACAGCATGAAGAGGGAACTTCATGTGTTGGTGGAAATATTTTTTATCTGGTGTCCATGTGGGGTATATGGATGCATGCACTTGTAAAATGAGTTGAGTCAATGAGTATTTTCGAATGAATGAACGAACATAGTAGGGGATAGGGAGAAAGTCTGTTGTTTGATGTCTCAGTATGTAGCCCAGGGATTGGGGCAGGAGGTAAAGTCCAGATTCCTTTGTCAGCTGAAGAAGTTGCCTCATACAGCCAGACACCCTCTGGGCTCATATTTGGAATCTCGCAAAGGTTGGGCCAACCAACTTGTTCACCTGGCAGCTTTGCAAAAGTTCATCTGACATCTGCTAGGACTTGGAAGTTGAATGCTAAGAGACTTTGAGGCCAGAACTACAAGAGCAATAAGTCAGAAATTTTAAGTCTACAACTCTTTCCGTTGCAAAGGTTGAATTTTTCTTGGAAGAAATGGGAAAATGAATGTCTGAAAGGTCTCCTGGGTCTGCTGGCTTGAAAAGGGGGGCAGTGGGTAGGAGAAGGAAGATAACTACCTCCCAAACAAGTCAGGGATCTTTGAATGGAAAAGGCTTTCAGACCCTTGAAGAGAGCTCTTTGCAGCTAGGAGATGAGAAGAGGGAGGAATTGGAGAGGCTGGGTGTTGGGTGATGGTAGCGGGATCAGCCAGTGACAAACCCTCCTGGTCTGTATTTTACTGATACCTCCTTGGATCCAATTTTCGAGAAAGGACTTGATGTTCTTCCGGAAATGGCCTTGCTCTGGACTCAGGCATGAGAATGGTTGTCCAGATGGCCAGCTGGCCCAGTTAGAAAGGCTTTGAGCAGAGCCCTATAAAAATAGATCTTTCTGAGGTATTTCTTCTACTTCCTTTCTACTCTGCAGACCAAATAACCAACCCAGGTGTGGGAATGTTTCATTTCCACAGCAGATGCAGGTCCTGAGCCAGTGAAGCTACTTCCCTTGATGCCATTATCCTCCTGGGAAGGAAGAAAAGAGACAAACTTTGATTGAAGAAAATAAAGGTGCCTGATTAGCAGCTTGACAGAGGCCATCGGGCAGGTAAGATGTGAAGGTAGGGCTTGATTCCAGGTCCCAGCTGTCAGTCTTTCTGTGTAGCACCCAGCTACCTGTCTCAGAGGCAAACTGGGTGAGAAGACATCTCAGCGTAGCACTCAGCTGTGAATAGGAGACTGTTGGCTGGTTCTGGGTATCCAGCTTCAGGGTTGGAGAAGGGGAAATTAGTTAGGGTGGAGGGAGTCTCCAGAGAAATCAATGAGGACAGTGGTCAACAGAAGTCCCAACTGAAGTAAGAAAAATCACATAAAGGAACTTCAGAATTTGGTCCACCTTTTTGGTTTCAGTGGGAACACACTTCTGCATTTTTGAACTGAAAGCACATTTATTCCCCAGCACTGGTCCCTGGCCCTTGGCCTGTGGCTTATAAACAAAAGCGGGCTGTTTGGTCCCTGGGCAGGGATGTTTGCTCACAGATCATGACGTGTGCTCAAGAGCAGCGGGTTTGGAAAAATGGGTATGCATTTGGAGGATGTGCGTGTGGGGCTGCTGTGCTGCTCTGCTCAAGCTCATGTGCTACCTGCATTCCCCAATGCTGGAAAGCTGAAAAGCTGGGGCTGGACCAGACAACGTCTTTCCTGCTCTCCACATTGATGGAGTTTTTGTCAGTGTTGGCAAACAATTATAAAGCAGCATCTTAGAGGTAATGTTGGCCTCAGGGAGAACTTCTCACTGACCCTCTTATACACTGTCCTCCTGACACATGCCCTTTGTTTGAATTCCTCTAGTCACGGGGAGCCCACCTCCCACAATGGTAGCCCATCCCCCATTTGTGCATAGCTGCAGTCATCGGAGCGCACTTCCCTCTCCTGTATCCAGTCTGCTTTGTTACCACCTCCACCCCCTGGTTCTGGTTCTGTGCAATGGGCACAGTCATTTCATTCATTCCACAAATATTTTAGGGGTGTTTCCTTTGTGCTGGGCACTTCGTTCAGTCCTGGAAATATGGAGCTCACCTGAAGGGGACGAGATAGATAAGAGGCAATTTATTTCAATAAAAATCACCACTGTCCACTTAGTTTCTCAGGCCAGAACCCAGGTGTCATCCTTGATTCTTCTCTTGCCTAACCCCACGTACCCTATCTACGTGCAAGTCTTGTTGGCTCAACTTCCAAAATATTTCTGGTATTTATCCTCTTATTTTCAACTTCACTCCATTTCAAAGGATGCTGCTCGCTATCTTTGTATGCATGTCATTTCATACATGTGAGTTTCTGTAGAATGCATTCCTGTAAGGTGGAATTGCTAGGTCTCATAGTCTCAGCACTTGTCACTCTGACAGGTATTTCCAAGTAGCTCTGGAGAAGCTGAACCAATTTACACTCCCTGCAATGATGCATGCTTGGACCTGTTCCCCACAGCCTCACACTAACAATGTGCTCATAATTTGCTACTTGCCAATCTGATAAGAGAAACATGGTACTCACTGCACTTTAATTTGCATTATTCTTATTATGTATAAGGTTTAACATCTTAAGTCTAAAATTAAAAAAACAAAAAACCAAACAACTCCTGAGCCCTTCCCTGCCCAGTCGATATAGAACTGGGGCCTGGTCTCGGGCCCCAAGCGGGATGCCGGGTGTGGTGGGGCAGGGGGGAGGCGAGGACCCTTGGAACCTCCGCTTTGCTCTGGGCTGCGCGGCCCCGCCCGGAGTCCGCCTCCAGCCGGCCTGGGCGGAGCGTGCGGGCCAGTGGGAGGCGCTGCGCTGCCTGATTTATTCCCGTCTAGGAGGAGTGAGAGTCCTGTAGTCTGCACGGCAGGACCCCGGTCCCGTGCGCGTCTCCCAGCATGCTGGGCCCCCGCCTGCTGGCTGCGCTCTGTGGCGTGCTGCTCTGTGCCTCTGGCCTCTTCGCTGCCTCGGGTGAGTGATCACGCCGCCCTCCGGCCCTCGCCCCTCCTCTCTGCTCGGAAGTTCGCCGCCGCGCCCTCCCTCCACTGCCACTGTTGACAAACTTGGGCAGAGAGCCTAGGCCGGACCCAGGGGCGACTTTTCCCCCCCGCAGCATCCGGGCGGGCAGCGGGGATGCACTCGGCCTCTCCCGCTGTCTCTACGGCCGGGCGTTTTGGCCAGTGAGAGAGACATGAGCCTTGGGCGGTGGCTTGGGACACTGGATGACAGCCTAGCCCTCCCCAGGGAGGTGGCTTTCACATAACAAAGGAATCCGCTATGTAGGGCCTCTCTTTTCCCATCTGTAAAATGAAGCCATTGAATTGTCTCACACGCCTACCCCCTGCAAGTTTCTAGGACTCTCGTATTGATGTCTTCTCCAGCCAACTTTCCCCGGCAACTCCCTCGGAAGCCCTGGCAGCTTGTCAGATCATGGACATTTCCACTCACTCTCCTGAGTGTCTGCAGATCCCGGAGGGAGGGCTGGGGAGTGGGTTGGATGGACTGGCTCTGGGTAGGTTCCTGGAGTGGGCAAGGAGCCTGGGCCTGCGCTTTGAAAACGGCTGCCTCCAGTGATGGCAGCTCCTGGCTCCTTCCTGGGGCCTTGGCATGCTGCTGTATCTTCCTTGGTCCTCCCACCACCCCCTTCCCGGGGCCAGGAGGGCTCCCACCAACAGTAGGGCCTCTAGCAGGTGGTTTTTGGGGATGCCCTATCCCCTTCACATGGGACCAGCAGGCCCTATAGGTTTGGGGAAAAGGTACCCGTTGGAGGGGGGATGGCAAGTACTCTTCAGGCATCCCCTCCATCACTTTCTCATAGAAATAGTATTCACGGAAGCAAGAGAGGAGCATGGATCACATCTGAGACCTGGCTCTGCCATCTGTGGCGGTCTGACCGCAGGCCTGCAGCCGAAGCCTTAAGGGCACCCCAAGCTCCCATGCACTTGGGAGCTGGTGGCTTTCTCCAGCAACCCTGAAAGATGGCTGGGTCTTGTCCCTTCCTACTCCTCTCAGTTCCTACAACCTGAGCCTTGGCAAAATGTCCCTGGGGAAATCTGAAAGGGCAGGATCCTGAAATCCCAAAGGTGGTTTAGTAGGGACGTGATCAGGCCTTTCTCCGAAAGGGAAAGTGCCGAGCTGCCACGCAGGCGCAGGTGAGTCAGTCTAAGGCCCTCCAGGTAGGGAACACCTTTTACTTTTCCTTTTTTTCACTGGACCCAGGGCAAGGGAATGATTAGGAAGGGGAGGAAGAGGGGTTAGATCTTGTTGGGACAGGAGCCCAGGACTCTGGCCATTCCCAAGCCTCTGTCTGTGGCCCTGCCTGCCGCCTGCCAGGTCAGGGGAGGGGATTAACCTGCTATTTAAAGCGAGTGACTAATAGCTCCTTGGGAGCCGCCAAAGCTCTGGAGGCAGCTCCTGAGGCCTGCCTGAGTGGAGCTCTGAGGGCTCCATCGCTCATCCACAGTGTTTCCTTCTCTGGAGCCCAGGCCCAGCTCTCTGGGGCTTTGAGATTTCAGGAGGGCCCTCCAGCCTGGCATGGCATGACTCTGCAGGGAGGAAAAAAGATTTCTCTCATCCTACCCCAAATGGTAGCTCAGCTTTGGGTATGGCATCTGAGGCGGCCCTCTTGGATGCTTAGGTCAGAAGACCCTCCTGCAGGCCTGGTTGACCCCATTTACCAGGGCCAAGGGACTGCAGACAGGCTAATAGTGCACATCTGTCACCCAGGTACCCAACCAGAAGCTGTGATTTCTTTTACAGCCCTCCTCCCCCTTCTGTAGTCCTTGTCCAGTGTTTCTCAAATTCGCCTTCCCCCCTCACTTCCTCACCTGACTTTCCTTCTCAGCAGGGTCCCTGTGACAGCCTCCCTGATACTCTCCTGGTCTCCTCCCCCTCCCGCCACCTCCTGTCACATTTCTGTCTAGCAGCCAGAGGGATCTTTGTGTAGCTACAAAACACCTCCCCACCTTAGGTGAACTCTTCGCATCTCTGCAGGTGACATCTTCCTTCTCGGAATTGGAAATGGGTTCCCCATTTTCACCTCATGTTTAAGAATCTCTGATTTGTTTTTTCCTGGTAGACCATGGTGGGGAGGCTGAAGGAAGGTTACAGACCCCTGGTCTGCAGGATGAAGAGTCTAAACTTGTCCTTCTCAAGTCCCTCCCAGTCTGACCCCAACCTACCTGTTCAGCTATGTCTTACTGTTCTCCACCATACTTGCTCTTTGTGCTTCTGCTTTTCTTTAGAATGTTCTTTCCTCATTCCCCAGCCTGGCACATACTCTCACACTGTTTTTTAGACTAGCTTACATGTCCCTCCTCTGTGAAACTGTCATCTCCTAGGTAGAAACCACACCTCCAGTGGCCCCTCAGTCGCACCTGTTCACTTCTGTTGACTTGTCCGCCTCTTTTCCATGGCTTCTTGAGGCCCAGATTGTACCTGATTTTTCTGCGTTGGGAGCCCAGCACGTATGTGGTCATTGCTCCCTACCCCAAAATATTTACTGAGTAAACGACTTGTTTCTAAGTCAGAGCTGCCACTGCAGGTGACTTCTGTGACTCCAGCCAGTGCATGAATGGAGGGACTTGCTTATTGGGCCAGGACGGAATCCCCTTCTCCTGCCTCTGCCCCGAAGGCTTCACGGGCATCATTTGCAATGAGACTGAGAAAGGTACGCTGCTGCTCCACACCTAGGTCACAGTTGCAGCCCTGGCTGCTGGGCTGAGCTCTTTCGTTCAGAAGTGGGCAGTGTCCCCAGCACCTCTCTTGTCATCAGCCAGCATTTCCCTGGAAACTCCTAGGCCACTTGGAAAGCTGCTGCTTCCTTTATTTGGGCTGATTCACCTACACACGACCCTCTTTGGTGCCAGGCTGGCCCAGAGTCTATCAGGCAGAGTCGAGGATGGAGGGAGGGGATTGTAGGGTAAGGCAGGCAATGGGCTGAGTGTTGGCAGAGGTTCTTTTCGGACTAGGTCCAACTGCTGCTGCCTGTCTCTGCCCCTAGCTCCTTCCTGATCACCTGCCCATCTCACCTGACTTCCCTTCCCCAGGTCCCTGTTTCCCAAACCCCTGCCACAACGATGCTGAGTGCCTGGTGTTGGATGAGTTAAAACGCGGGGATAATTTCATCCAGTACGTCTGCAAGTGCCCTCATGGCTACGCAGGCTACCACTGTGAGACCGGTAAGTATCTGGGGCGGACCCTGAGCCACAACCCTGGGCCATGTCTGGCCTTATTCTCTGTGTCAGGGCCTCCCTGGAGTCCATGGAGGATGGGACAGCCTCAGATTGGGCATGTGGTGGTGGGGGTTGTCCTGTTGTCCTTCCCCAGGCTCCTTCCTGCCCAGCCCTCTCTCCTGGGACTGTAGGCCAGGCCTGATGTCACTGTAGAGGAGCAAGGGGTGTTGGTTGCCCTTGAGGTCATGAGAATGCTATTTCTTGGGTCACTATGAACCAGACACACAGCATTAGGGTTAAGTCTCGGATTTTTCTACCAAGAGAGGAAAACAAACATTCTTCATCTTTAAGGGCCTGGGAGGTCAGTCAGTAAGGCTGAGGCCTCAGGATCTGACAGCTCCCAGGCCCATGTTTGATATGTGGCCTCATCACAGAGGTCAGTGAGGAGGGAGAGGCATGGGCAGACTGGACCATCCCCTCACAGTCAGGTGGTCAGAGGCCCTGCATGTGCAGAAGGGCTGACCTGCCTGGCCTGCTTGGTTATCCACTCAGCCACAGAATGGCCCTGGGTGGGTGCCCAGACAACACTGCCATCAGTGGCTTTGCACACCATCCTCCCTCCCTGTCCAGCTGGAGTGCCTGTCACCAAACTAGGACTCTTCTGGAAATCCTACATCTAGGCTCAGGAGTGGATGAAGCTGGTAGGGGTTGGGGAGGCAGATTTCTGCAGTCCCATCGGTCTGGTACTGAGAATCTCTAGCAGAGGGCAGATGATTCTTCAGGCAGATGTGGGGGTGCTCTCTTAGGTTTGCTGACTACAGAAGGAGGAGGGAGGCTCGGCCATCTGAGTGGGAGCTGGGGCCCTGGGAGAGAATAGGTGAAGTGATGCCCTTCACCTCACAGGAGGCAGCATGGAGGGCCTGTGCCTTGGGCCCTGGGATGAAGCCAGTGCGTTTGAAATGCTAGATGGAGGAATGTGGATGTGTGTGGTCGGAGGTCGCCAAGGCAGACAGAGTCCTGGGTGGGGCCAGGTGGGCCCACTAATTACTATGCTGGGAGGCGAGGTAACCCTGGGTGTGCCTGAGTTGGAATTACCCACCCATTCTTCTCTGATTCTGGCCTGGGGTCTGCCACAGGCTGATGGCATCTGGGGCAGAGGCAAGAAGCTACTTGGAGTTGGGGCAGCCCTCCCAGAAGGACCTTTGCAGCCCCTCTTTGCTTGTTATGTGCTGTTTCCTGGGAGCCCACAAGGACCGCACAGGCTCAAAGAATGCACGTCTGAGCCCCTTGGGGTGCAAACATGTGGGTTATGAAGACAGTCCAGACTTGGGTTCAGATCTCTGTGCAGTCACTGGCTGGCTCTGATTTGGGGCATATGAGCTTATGTTGTACCTCACTCTCCCTTCGCGAGTGTCCTAGCTTGGCTCAGCATGAGCCTGGGGTGTTATTATAGGGTGGTCTGACCCTGGGTTCTCTGCTTGGGAGCAAGGAGAATGGCTCAGCCCCCATGACCACATCTCCAGGATATTGGTGAAGGTGACGGGGCCTTGGCCAGGGACAACTTTGCAGATGGCTGGGTCAGACCAGAAGTTGGAAAGGGCAGAGGGTATGAGAGAAAACGGAATGGCTTTCATACCCCACCCAGAAAACTCCTGCCATACAAGATTCTAGAAAACTTTACGTAGATTTGCTTATTGCTTTAGGGGCAGTACACTGCCATCTGAGGTCCCCCTTCTCCCAGAGCCATCCTGGGGATGCCAGGGGCTGGGCCGGATGTGGTTGTTGTGATGGGACCACATAACTCAGCCTGGAGGGAGATTCCAGCCACCAGCTCCAGTAGCGCCATGAGTGCAGGAATGGGTCCCAGCCCCCCATGACTGTTCCTGGCCACTCTCTTCCTCATCATGCACCTTTTCTTGGAACCTCCTCTTGGGCTCTCATTGTCCCTTTGTGATCTCTGCCCTGGGTCCTCGGCAGAGACCCTCCTGACTGCCGTCTTCCTCCCCGCAGTGTGCAGCATGCCTCTGGGCATGGAGACGGGTGCCATTGCCGACTCGCAGATCTCTGCCTCATCCTTGCAGTTGGGCTTCATGGGTTTGCAGCGCTGGGGCCCAGAGCTGGCCCGCCTGCGCCGCACGGGCCTTGTCAATGCCTGGACAGCCAGCAATTACGATAGGACACCCTGGATCCAGGTGTGGAAGGGGTGGCATGGCCTTGGGGTGGGTGGCATGACGGGAGGGGAGAAGGTGAGACGAGTATGCCTGCATCTGGAGATCACCCCAGGAAGGGTGCATAATGGAGGTCTAAGTAGCAAGGTAGCAGGTTCCCATGGGTGAAGTATCTATCAGTGGAGGATAGTGCTTGCTTCGGTAGCACATATACTATAAGTGGAGAGTGGCCTTGGGGAGCCTGGATTGGGTGGGTGGGGGATGAGGGGGAGCAGACCCCAGGCTGTGGAGGGGCTGTTTACACTGAATGCGCCTCTGGGGGCCTTGTTTGTCCTTGTGTGCTTCCCTGAACACTCCACAACCCTGAGAGGTTGGATGAAAAGGCCTTTGTCATTTGTTCTGCTTCCATTATTCTTTCTCTGGATGGGGGGAGTAGAGATGGAAGAAGGAACCTAGGAGCTTAAGGGTGCTGTCCTTCAGGTGAACCTGCTGCGAAAGATGGGGGTGACGGGTGTGGTGACGCAGGGCGCCAGCCGCACAGGCATTTCTGAGTACGTGAAGACTTTCAAGGTGGCCTACAGCGTCAATGGGAAAAACTTCCAGTTCATCCAGGGAGACTCAGGAGACAAGGTGAGGCTGTTGGGGCTCTAAGGATGGGCTGTGGTTGACACGCCTGGGGCTCCAGTGTTATCTGAGGGCCCCCAGTGAGGCCAGGGTGCCCCGGGCAATTGGGCATGAAGTGGGTCTTCAGGTGCATCTTGGTTCCCAGAAATCGAGAAGCCCAGATTGTTTTCCCATGTTTTGTGGTTACAAATAATAGTCCCACTTTATAGATGAGAATAGTGAGACTCAAAAATGTTTGATGACCTGTTGAGGCTGGCTGGAGTGGCAGAGCTGGGATGCATTTTGAGCCTTCAGGGCTGCCTCGTACTGCCCTGCAGGCTGTCCACCACTCAAGGACGTCATTACTACGTGAGCACCATTTACAACGTAGACATCGTGCATTTCTGTATTTCTGTCCACAGGAAATGTGTTATAATAAAGGGTCTTGAGAAAGGACTGCCTTTTCCTAATTAGCACAGAGGAACCCTATAGATTTATAGGCGGCCATGTGTGAAAAACAGGGTTTTATGCCTAGGCCCCTTGATGACCAAGGACTCTGTGATAAGGTGTCGTGGAAGACTGTGGGGTGGCCAGGGGTATCAGATTCTCAAAGCACTTATAGATTTATTAGGAATACTACTGTATAAACTAGTTAAATGGGTATATTCATATGGCTTAAGGAGTCATTCATTCAAAAAATGGGTAGTATGAGCCCCACTATGTGCCAGGCATTGGTCTGAGAATGGAAGATAGAGTAGTATAAAACAGAACATGGCCTCTGCCTCAAAATCCTCGATGGCCCTGCTAAGCCCACTGCCCCCACAGGCCTGCAGAAGAAAGTGAAGCAACCCCAGGAAGGGGGACTGCCCACATTGACCGCTTCTTCCACCTGCTCTCCGTCCTAGGTATTTATTGGTAATTTGGACAACAACGGCCTGAAGACCAACCTGTTTGACTTTCCTCTGGAAGTGCAGTATGTGAGGCTGGTGCCCACTATTTGCCACCGGAGCTGCACCCTGCGCTTTGAGCTCCTTGGCTGTGAGCTGAACGGTGAGTGCTGGGGGCTGTGGTCCATCTTAGAGGATGGCCTCTCTTCTCAGCCAAGCTGAGGTGGGTAGGGTTGCAGCAAAGCCATACAGCAGAGGCACACCAGAGGGATCACCTGTCCATCAGCAGTCCTGTCTAGGTGTTCTCTGCCAACCTATGGCATTCTGGTGGGTAGATAACAAAAGACACACTTCCATTTTCAATATATTTTCACTTATTCTTATTGGATCCTTGAGTTTCTAGAATGTGTAGTATCAATTCGGTTTTGCAGTTGTCAGCTCCATGAGGGCCGGAAGTTCATCTGCTTTGTTCACTGCTGTGTTCCCAGTGCCTAGAACAGTGCCTGGATTGTAGGTGCTCAATAAACATTTGATGAATAAGTTAATGAATGAAGGAGGAAAGTGAGGCCCAGATAAATTATTTGTTAAGGGCACAAAGCTGGTAGGATTTAAAACTTGGCCTAGATCCCTGGGCTTCTGATACTTACTGACCCAGTGCTTTTCCCCGTGTCTCCAAACCTATGGTCTGCTTTCAAGAGAAACATAGGGTTATGGGGGCTTATATGGTCATAGGGATAGGACAGGTGCTTCCTGCTGCCATTTCCATAAAGAGTCCCAGATGGAGGAATGGGAGTCCCAGAAAGGGACAGATTTCTCCTGAGCCAGGAAAAACTCACCATTGGGGAGGTCAGATGAGTTTGGGAGAGCAGGGGTTGGGCTCATTTCCAGCTCACCCAGCTTTCTCTCTGAGCTCTAGGTAGTAGTTCCTTCTTTTTGCAGCCACAGTGCCACCTGCTGACCACCAGCAGAACTCTAGGGCTCACTAGGCTGATGGCAGCGAGAGGTGGCTGTCTGCCTTTCTGGTCTTCCTCAAGACCCACTTTGTGCCCGTTTTTCTCCTCTGTGGCAACTTCTTCCTGTTATCTCATTTCAAATACCGCTCAATACCACTCAGAGCTGAGTTCTCTGTGCCTGGCTGGGTTTAGTCTTTTTTTTTTTAATTATGAACTTAAGTCTGTGTTCACATGGTTCACTGCCTTTTAAGTCTAATTGTTTGAGTGGGGAGTTGAAGACTTTTCCTTCTGCTAAAAGGAAATTTTGGCAATTGGTAAAGGACAGAGACAGGTCTGGGGGCCTTTACCCTGGCTTTTCTCCCTGGAGGCCCTTGCCACTTGCTGTCATAGTCTGAAGCCTTTGCCTGTTAAAGTTGCCAGCATGGTCCTGTCGCCGTCACCTCCCTCTGAGACCAAGAAAGGGTGAGCCCGGCAAGCTGAAGAAGGGAGGCTGCCCTCTCTGCTTCCTTCAAGGTCTGGAACATCTCCTTTCTCTAGCAGGCACTCCAGTTGGCTGGCTTTCCAGTACCCCTCCCCCAAATTCCCCAAAGGGACTTATGGAGTGGAATCGGCCAGGTATGAGACACACCCATCATTTTCTTGGAGGTTTTATCTTCTCCTGCTCATCCTCAACTATTCTGGCCACCTGCTGGTACACGTGACTAGGACAAAAGAGCCTGGCACATTCTTGAGTATTTGAGGCAGGCCCGACTGAAACCGAGGCCAGCTCCTGAGGCCAGCCCTCACAGGCCCGTCGGACAGCATGCTGAAGGACCTCTGCTAGACCCCGAGGGGAGGAGCTACGGGGCAAGGATACAGGATCGCCCCTGACCTGAGCCACAGGATTTTAACCTCTCATTTCCCCCTGCTGAAGGTCCTGTTCATCTCTGGGTCACCACCAGGCAGGCCTTCATGGCTCTGGGTGGATACATGGATGGTGGAGGTGATGTCACAGTGTGGCGTGGTGATAAGGAGTTTGTGTGATTTGGCACAGTGTTCGTCTCTCAGCCTTAGTCTCTCGTCTGTAGAAAGGGTTTGCTAATATGTTCTCCATTCAGGTTTTTGCGTGGTAGATAAATGAATGAAGTAAGCACTTAATCGATGAGATGATTGTTCATGTTCTGGATGATAATCTCAGAACTCAGCAGTGTACACAGCAGCTGTACTATAGGAGTGACAGAGGAAGTGCTATGAGTCCAGAGGAGGGACGAGTCCTGCCCAGATGAGGTGGTCAAGGCAGGCTTCTGGGAAGAGGTGTCTCACAAGTCAGGCCTTGAAGGAGGGTGGGAGGTGGTGGATTAGGGCCTGCCCTGGTGCAGAGGGAAAAGAGTGGTGGGTAATCTGTAATAGGTAAGTCGGGTAGGGGTGGGAGCTGAGAGCAGCTGGCTAAGGGGAGGAGTAGGTAGGGCAAGCAGTGTCAAAGCAGGATGGTTGGCTCTAAAAGGCAGAAGGAGCTTCCATCTGTTGTCCAAGGAGATGCCAGGGGCTGGTCAGATCCACAGAGTTCTTTCCCATTCATCTGCTTGTGCTCATGCCCTGGGAGGCTGTGGATCTCAGATCTGGATGACACCCTCCTTTGCTGGCAGGATGCGCCGGACCCCTGGGCCTGAAGGACAACACCATCCCTGACAAACAGATCACGGCCTCCAGCACCTACAAGACCTGGGGCCTGAATTCCTTCAGCTGGTATCCCTTCTACGCGCGGCTGGACAAGCAGGGCAAGTTCAACGCCTGGACCGCTGAGAAGAACTCTGCCTCTGAATGGCTGCAGGTGGGCCAGGCCCCTGGGGTGCAGGCCTGGGGTCAGGTGGGGTCAGGTCAGGTGGGGCTGTCAAGTCTTTGACGTCTCTGCTCAGCCCAGGCTTCTGTTCTTCATGAGGGCATTTCAGAAAAGCTTTGTTTTTCTTCACCTTTGCTGTTCCTTCCTGCCACATGCCCTACTTTCCTCCTGATTCTGTAACTCCTAGGGGGAGAGTAGTGGGAGCTCAGCTCTGCTTCCACCAAGGTCCCTTTATCCAATTTACTCTCCCACAGACAGTGCAGGTGAGCTCTAATTGCTTTACATCTCTGCAGACATTGGTAATGTCCATTACATTATTTTCATTTTAGCTATTCTGTTTGGCATGTAGTAGTATCTCATGTGGTTTTAATTTGCATTTCTTTGATGACTAAGGGAATTGAGCATCTTTTCGTAAGCATATTATCAATTTGGTTATCTTCTTTTGTGAAATACCTATTCAGGTCATTGCCCGCTTTTCCATCCATTGTCAGTCTTTTTTGGATTTATAGAATTTCAGTTTATAGTCTGGATAAGAGCTCTTTGGCAAATATCTAACTTTTTATCTCCTGTTTCAAGAGTGTGTGTGTCTGTCTGTGTGTCTGTCTGCTGAAGGAGAGCCACCTCCATTGGCTGCCACAGGCTGACAAGGCTGAGCCCGTGGACAGCAGGGCAGGGCGAAGGAGGGATACCTGAGACAGGCACCTAGAGATTTCTCTGCCTGAGCACAGAGCACGTGCTCTTGGACTTGGTGTCTAAGAACACACTACGGGATGGCCGTCAGATGTTTTTGGAATTGTGAAACACGAGAGTCACGGGAAAGGAAAGCATCCGCTCCTGTTATACATGAGGAAACTGAGGCTCTGCCAAGTGAAGCAGCTTTCCACAAACTAGAATACATGTCCCAGTGTGTCTGCCTTTTCCTGCCTTCACGGAAAGCGTCTAAACAAACAAAAAAAATGAGGTATTTTTCTTCCTCTGCAGATTGACTTGGGCTCTGAGAAGCAAGTGACCGGCATCATCACTCAGGGAGCCCGAGACTTTGGCCACATCCAGTATGTGGCAGCCTATAGGTTGGCCTACAGTAACAACGGTGTGGACTGGACCGAGTACAGTGATCCGGGGACCTCAGAGGGCAAGGTGAGTGTCTGCTGGCCACCCTCCCTTCACTATTGTAGGCCTGGGGCTCTGAGGTGAAGGGGCCTGGCTCTGGGGCCCTCCTGATACCCCCTCTGCCTCCAGATCTTCCCCGGCAACTTGGACAATAACTCCCACAAGAAGAACATGTTTGAAACACCCTTCCAGGCTCGCTATGTTCGCATCCTGCCCGTAGCTTGGCACAACCGTATCACCCTGCGTGTGGAGCTGCTGGGCTGTTAGTGGTATGCCTGGCCGAAGTGTCCGGAAGGGCTGTGTGGCACCTGCCCCTTCCCCAGCCCTCCTGACCTGTGGTCTGCTGCCTTCACCCTGCCTCTTGATTGTAGTACCTCGGGGGAGGGGGTTTCAGTCACCTTTCCTGTCCCCCCTCCCTGGGCCCCACCTCACACATGCCCCCGGTGCCCAGCCCTCATGCCATCCCATTTTCTCAGGCACTATGGTGTCGAGTAGGTCGGGGATGGACAGGGAAGAGCGAAGTAGGGGTGCGGGTTACCCGCACCTCTCCAGATCCCTGATTCCAGCCTCTGTGTTCTCTGTAGCCCGACTCCCACACTCCCGTTCCCATGACCCTGGAGGAAGGCCCTGAGACGCCAGGCTGGAGATAAGTCTCCTACCCCCCAGCCCTGAGGCATGATGCTGCCACTCCTGCTGCTGCCTCCTAGCCACCTGACACTCCCCCCTTATCTCCCTGGAGACCCCTCTTGACCTACAAAAAGACAGGGGAATGGGGTGGGTCTGTGGAGAGATAGGGGAGGAGGTGGGTGGGCATGGGGGCCCTCAGTGCTGATTCTTTACTAGTGAGTGCACAGGCAGCTTCCAAAATATATTTATATCACCCCCTGGAGCGCTTGCTGTTGTTCATCGTTATCGTGCTGAAATGGACTTTGTCTCATGCTGGTCTCTCACCCTCCATCCTCAGTCCCCCCAGAGCCCCGTCATTCTTGTGTCACCTGCCTGACTACAGAGAGCTTAACAGCCAGAGGAAGGAGGAGGTTACTGGGGGGTCCCCACAGTGGGGCTGGGACTCTTCCAAGTGAGTGAGCACACTGGTGCCTAGGAGGCCACTGGCACATTCACTCCAGGGATTAGTCAAAAGCTCCAGGGGTACCCCTCAACCCTCCACCAGGCAGGGGCTATCAGGAAGTAACCAGTGAGGGGGGCAGTGTAGGCCAGTGCCCTGGTGACCTGGGAAGGGGCCTGGCTGGCAGATAGGAGGGACTGACTAGCTGGGAAAGGGGCTAATGAAACCACCCTTGTATTTGAGGCCTTGGGACACAAGATGAATTTTCCAGAACGAACGTTGGGAGCCATGCTTTGATGCACATGGGCGCCTCTGGAGTGAATATCTGGCCACAGGGCTGCCGAAGGAAGGGTGTGGCCTGGTTGGGGCTTCACTCTGGAAACTGGTCTGGAAGTGGCCACTTCCTCACAGTTGCCCTTGCCAGGGCTTCTTGGCCGGGTAGGGACAGAATAAAAGGCCCAGGCCATGGTCTCCAAATAAAGAAGGACTGTGAGGCTCCCTGCCTCCCTCCCCCTGGAGGTCCCTCAGCCCACTCTTCCGCAGAGCCGCACCGATTGGGCTTGGGGAAGTTTCTGGATGCTTGCCGGCTGCAGGACTCCCACCCCTGTTCTGGCTTCTCCTGGGGTCTAGCAGACAGACGGTGGGAGAAGCACCTTTCTCCCGCATCTCTGCTCTGGGATGGCTCTGCCTCCCCAATAACTAACTGTAGCTCCATCCTTGCTAGAACCTGGGAGTCCCATCTGTAGAAGGGGAAACAGCTTCACTCCCATCTGTCAACTTGCCCCTATTCATGGCATTAAACATTTTCTACGTGCCAGTCTCGTTGGGTGACAGGCCAGTAGTCAGAGCCCCCCACTTGGCTCAGGAGACCTTTGGTGACTGGAATTGCCTAAGCCACCCATCTGTCAGGCCCTTCTTCCGCTCATCTTTTCGGCCTTGGAAGGTGACCCTGCACTGGGTCCCCTCACTCCTGACCTCTTTTGTCCTTGGCTTCTCTCCCTGGGCAGCCTCCTAACAAGTCAACTCCACAAATTTACCCTTTATTCCTGACCACAGTCCTGAGAGCCAGCTCTGAGATCTACTTGCTGGCCAGTCCTACCGTGGCTGGTACATAAAACCCATTTTGCTGTCACAAAACTCACCTTCCCTGCCATCCATCCCTCTCCCTGCACCCCGGGCTGTCAGCACTAGGACCAGTTGACCCCCCTCTCCCAGAAATCTAGTGTTCCTTTCCAATCCTGATTTAAATACAGCGGAGTGACTAGGAGCCTCAAGTTGTACAACCTGGTTTCAAATCCTGGCTCTGAGTGACCTTGGGCAATTTACCTAAACCTGGCCTCAGTGCCCTCATCTTTAAAATGGAAATAATAGGGCCAACTCTGTGGCTTCCTAGGGACTAATGGAGGGAAATGTACACATGCACCTATGCAAAATCTGGCCCAGTGGAGGCCTTGGACACTGGTTGTCTTTCTCAGAAGCTTGCAAGAGTTTTCTAATCGGTACTTGTGTCCTATTTATCACTCTCCAAATCCATCCTACACGTAGTGGGCAGATGTCTGTTCCTTGCAGAGGAAGCTTCATTGGCTCCCTTTTTCCCATCAAACCTGGCATTGACTCTGGGTGCAGGTTAGCCTCTAGTCACTGCAGCTCTGTGCTTTGATTTGCTCCTGGTTGTGTTAACACACACACCCACACACCCACACACCCACACACACACACACAGGCATGCGTGCATGCATGTGTACATACAAGCTGTCGTGTTTTGGAAGAGGCTCTGGGCTCGGTGACCCTGTGGCCTTTGGCTTTTCTGCTGAGGAAACTGTCAGGCCCAGGACCCCTGTTGATCTGGACGGGGAAAGAAGACACCTTGTCCAAACAGGCGTCCTGGGAGGTGGCTGCTGGATGGCTGTGCTGGCAGATGTCAGGATTCTAAAGAAGGGCCCACTCCTGCTGGAGGACCTGTCAGATGCCTGATTGCTCCTGCTGGCTGCTGGCAGCACCCCATCCTGTGCCTCTTCTCACTCCAAGGCCACTCATTCAAGCTAGACCAAATAGGGGGAGCTTCCATGTGCCCGACACTGAAGAGTGTGGCTGGCGATTTCAAGGCAGGCGTACAGAAAGCTCACCCCTCCTTCGCAGCCATAGCTCACCTGCAGAGGGCTCCCCTTGCCTAGTCCGGCTGTTTTTGGTAAACCAGAGCAGTTCTAATGGGCCCCCTACAAATGCTGCTCTTTCCCCCACTAACCTTCCTCAAAAAGTGACAGCCTCAGCTCCTGGACACTGCCTTCCCAGCTTGGCCAGCAGCTCCGCGGTTTGGAGGTGGTCCCCAGCGGAGCCTGGAGCTTGCCCAAGCCTGTAGCACCTCCTCCCTTTGGGACCTGCCCTCGGGAGGGAAAGGGGCGTGTGTTCCTTTAAGGGGCAGGCCTGGCGGGAGCGCGGGGGTTTGTCCGCAGCCGCTTCCTTTCTGGCCATTCAAGGTCCCTAAATCCGCCTGTTTCCTCAGACCCAGATAGCCCGCGACCCCGAGCGCGCTCGAGCCGTCGAGTTGCCGCTGGGGGACGGTACGTGGCTCGAGGGTGGCCGGGCTCCCGGGGTCCCTGTGGACCAGCTACCTCCTCCCGGCTTCGGGTCTCCTGCGGGCCCCACTCCTCCCCAGGCAGGGATCAGGGAAGCGGGCCGACGGGAGCTGGGCTGTGAACCCCGGCGCGGGGCGCTCCGATCGCGGGTAAGGTGAGAGCCACGCGGGGTGCGGGCAGACTTGCGCGGGACCCGGGTGCGCGCCGCGAGGAGGCACAGCCCGGGCGAGACCCGTGGCGCGCACCCAGCCTCCTCACGGGGGCCGCCAGGCTCCTTCCCATGCCGTCTGGCCCCTTCCCATGCCGTCTGGCCCGGGCCCTGCAGCCGCGCCGGCTCTGCCCCGGGGCATCTGTCGGACGTTCTGGGAACTCTGAGAAGGGCTGGAGACACCCAGCGACGTGGGGGTCAGGTGAGCTGGCGGCCTGTGCTCTCCGCCTCTGCTGCCTGTTCGGGCCGTCCCAGGGCAAACCCGATGAATGCCCGTCGGTTTCAGGCCTCAGTTCACAAACATTTCTGTCCTGGAGACAGCGAGACCCGAAGGGGCAGGGAGGGTGTGGGGTAGAGTCCTGGGTGAGAGATAGGTCACTCGGAGAGGAATCGGGGGCTCGTGATCGGCCAGGAAGGAAATAGCGCGAACCTTGGACCCATCTCTGTCACCAGCCTGTGACCGACCCCGTCTGGACCGCGGTGACCAGCGCTCACTATCAGGAGTGCCTCTGCTGTCCGCAGCAGGGAGAGGTGATAGGCGCCTTGGCCCCTCTTCCCCGGCCCTGCACTGGCCAACGGGGTGGGAAGGCTGGTAGAAAGCACCTCCCGCTTCCATTGTTGGAGGCCCCAGGTTTCAAAGGCGCTTGTAAGCCTCGTGGAAACGGGGCACCGAAGTCAAATTCCTCGTGGGGAGGCGGGCTGGTAGAGATCTGTAGGGCAATGCTGCCCTCCGCTGGTGCCTGGGGGACTTGTACTCTGTTGGGTGCTCCGTCTTCCTTCCAAGCCTGAGTTCAGCTTATTCTGGTGTGCAGTGGGGTCCCTAGACAAGTGATGTTGGCAAAAACAAAGGCTGGACCATCAGGAGACCTGAATTTTTTCCAACTTCCACCTATTTGCCAAACGAAGACAAAGCCTTAGCTTTAGTTTCCCCGACTGTAAGGCCGTGGTGGCTGCTTTCTTGCCTAGGCAATGAGAAAGATCCCCAAGATAATGAGACTTCACTTTGTAAACTGTGCACAATAGTAATAATAGCTAATATTTTTGAGTGCTTGCACCCTACCGGGCATTATTCTAAGAGCTCTTCAGACCTTCTATCCCTTAATCTTCACAAAAATATTTCCTGGTTGGTATTGTTGTGACCCTCATCTTACAGATGAGTAAAGTGAGGCTCAGTGTCTTGTCCAGTGACAGACTATTAGTAAGTAGGTGGGGCCAGAATGAATCCAGGTGGCCAAGCAGCCTAGCATTTCTGAACCTCAGTTTCCTCTGTACCGTGGGGATTATCCTGATACTGTGAGGTTCATAGGCAGTGACATCCATGAAAGTGCACCGATAAGCAGAAGGAAGTCCTTAAATCTGACAGATTGTCATAGGGTTGGCTGAGAAGAGCTCAACAGAGTCCTGCCTCTGCCGCCTCCTGGCTGTGTGGCCTTTGCACAATTGCTTCATGTCTCTGTGCCTCTGTTCACCTGTGGATTAAATGGGGAGAACAAAATTGTCCTTGCTGACCAGGGTGGATTCTCTTGGGATGGTTGAGGGAGCCGCTGGAGGACACCAGAAGGTGCTACAGTCTGTTTTGAACCTGTTTCATGATAGGTAAGAATGATGGGGGAACGATGTTGGTATCACATAGAATCACATTGATCCAGTTGTGATTTTTCCTAGCATCCTAATATACTGGAGTGACTGTAACGAGACTTCTAACAATTAAAGAGCAAGCTTGAGCAATGTATGAATTCCTTAAGATAAACGCTGGCCATGGAAGTCCTGGAGAAAGTGCCTTTCTTTAGAATAACAGATGGCCCTCACTCTCCAAACTCTTGCTGTCCAAAATTCGGGAACCAACTAGGTTGGACAATGCAGCATCTCTTCCTCCTGAATTCTCCCAACTTTCATTATCTCAACTATTGCCATCCTGACTCAAGGATGCAATAGATTTACTGAGGGTGGGATGCCTGTATGGCTGGTTTAGCTGCTTAACAGAGCCTAATAACATAAAGTTTTCTGATAAAAGTAGGAGTCAGATGAAGAAGTTGCAAAGACATTTCCCTTGTCTTAAAAAAAAAATTAAAAACTAAATAATAAAAAAAGATGGAAGAAAATGGCTTCACCCTGGGGTCAGATTTTTAGTTTTGGTAAATCTGGTTTCTGTTAGACTCCAGCGCCCCCAAGGACCTACATCTTGAAGGAGGAAGCACTTGCCCAATAGTAAAGGCTGCAAAGGGCTGATGGTTGGGTGCCCCGTGCCAGTGTCCATGCAGAATTAATGGTACTGTTTTGTTTTATTTTGTTTTTAAACTAGGGTTGTTCTTGTTTTTGTTAGTGCTTTGGTTACAAAGTTGCACATGTTCTGAGTAGTCTGCCTCAACTTTATTTTTCCTTGACCCTTTTTTTTTTTAATGCATGATTTTGCAAAACTAGACATTTTTTTCCCCAAGTATACAAATATCGTTTTGTGGCAGCTCTGCCATCAGTCCATGGTTTCCACCTTTGACACTAAGGGGGCTGGTCTGGTTGCCAGCCGGTTGGGGAAACAATACCAGGGAATGGATACCCCTAAATGTTTTAACTGCAAGATATGCATGTTGCACATGTTATTTCTGCTCACCGCCACTGGCCAGCACTGAGTCACCTGGCCTCTCCTCACTGGAAGAGAGGCCGGAAACACAGCCTTCAGTCGATGGGTTGCACACCTATCTAGCACTCTATCACTAGAGGAGAGGAGAAGACCATATTGGTGAAAAATATGCCATTTACGATCTCCATTTCACAAACGAAGAAACCTGCACAGAATCACACAACTAATAAGGGGCGGGCTCTGAGAACAGTGCCTGGCACGCCTTAGATGCTCCACAGTTACCTGTTGAGTGAGTGAATGAGTGGGTGCTGGAACCCAGGGGTCCCCGGCCCCCTTCAGTGGGGCTCCCCTCATTGGCTTGTTTTTCACCTCTTCCCAGTGTGCCTGGGCTCCAGCCTTGCTCAGGACCCCCCAGCACTGCCACCATGCATGACGCCATGTGCCTGCTGCTCCTGGGCCTGCTGCTGCCCCTGCCCTGTGTCTCTGGACTGCCTTTCTACAATGGCTTCTACTACGCCAACCGCCCCCACGGCCAGAACCTGGGCAACGGCCATGGCGAAGGTAGGCGGCACCCTGGGTCAGGCTCTTTGCTCCGCTGGGTGGCTAAAACCTCCCCTGGCTCCTGCTGTGATGTGCAGGTTCCGGGCTGGGATGGGGGATGGGGCATGGAGCCAGCAGCTCCTTTCCCATTTGAGCCCTTGCAGTGGACCAGCCCTGTTTCTAGGATGAGTGGAAGAGATGGTTCAGTTACTCTGTGTTTGCTGGCCTCTCAGACATGGAGCCTTATACTCAGAGTAACTGAGTATAAGGGCCATCACTTGTGCTTTCTATACTTCCTCAAAGTCGTGCCAACTTGTCAAGATCCAGCTTAAAAAAGTGACGTCTCCCAGTCTCCCCAGTGGAAAAGGGCTTTGGGGTTAGGCAGACGTGAGTTTAAATCTTAATTTTGCTACTTACTAGGTATATGACTCTGGGCCGGTGACTTTTTAATTAGTGTTTATTGTGCACCTACTATGCTTCAGGCATGCTTCAAGGTGCCTTATGTACATATCTCATATAATCCTGACAAAAACCCTGACTCAGGCAAGGGCAAGAGTAAAAATAGTTAACCAGTGCATCGTTGGCACTGACCATATCAAATCGAGGATGGCTGTCTTCACAGCCTTGAAAGCAGGTACGATCAATTATTCCCTTTCGTAGATGAAGAAACGAGGCTCAGAGAGTTGAGCCAGGTGCCCAGGGCACACAGATCTTAATAAGCCACACGGAGATTTGTTTATGGAAGGATCGAGAAGATGACCAACACCCAGCCCAGCCTGGTCATCACCTGAGCCTCTTTGGAGGCTCTTGAGGAAAATCTATTCCGTGCCTCTTGCAGCTTCTGGTGGCTGCTGGCATTCCTTGGCTTATAGTTCTGTCACCCTAGTCTCTGCGTCACATGGCCTCTGTAGTCAAGTCTCCCTCTGCCTCCCTTTAAAAAGATACTTACAAGTGCAGTTAGGGCCCATCGGAGAAATCCAGTCTCACCATACCCCAGTTCTCAAGCTCTTTAATTTAATCACATCTGCAAAGTTTATCTTGCCATATAAAGCAACATTCAGAAACTGGGACCTGGATATTCTGGGGAGCCATCATTTAGCTTACCCCTTTTCCCCAGAATTTATTTTGTTGTACAAGCACTACTTTAATGAGAGTCAAGGAAATTTTGAATCATAACCAACTTAGTGGCTTAAGACAACACCCATGATTTTATGGGTGGACATTCTAGGCTGGATCGTTCATGTGCCTGGAGTCGGTGGGCAGGTGAGCTGGGGGCTGGATGGCCTGGGATGGCCTCAGATGGAACAGCTAGTCTGCTCCATGCACTTGCTCATCCTGCAGGAGGCTAGTCTGGCGTGAGAGCAGCAAGGCCTCCTCGGGCCTAGGCTCCAGATAGGCACAATGGAGCAGTCACTTCTGCCATGTTCATTTGATCACGGGAAGTAGCAAGGCCAGCACAAATTCAAGGGTGATGGGGAATAGAGTCACCTCTTGATGGAAGGGGATACAATCAGTACAGAGCATGTGGCTGCCCGGAGCTGGTCCAGCTTAGTGGCTGTTCTTAAAATCTCTAATGCCCGAGCCTGGCAGGAGCTGGGTTGAAGGCAGAGGTGGCCCTTACAGGGGTGATGAGCTGTAGCAGGTCCCCATCTGCGCCCACCTCTCCCCCTAGATCTCTTCGACGGAGTGAAGCTGGTGGTAGAGACGCCCGAGGAGACCCTGTTCTCCCACCGAGGGGCCAATGTGACCCTGCCCTGCCGGTACCACTACGAACCGGCCCTGGTCTCCCCGAGGCCCGTGCGCATCAAATGGTGGAAGCTGTCAGAGAATGGGGCCCCGGAGTGGGACGTGCTGGTGGCCATCGGGCCGAGGCACCGCGCCTTTGGAGACTACCAAGGCCGTGTGCGCCTGCGGCAGGACGGGGCATGCGAAGCGTCGCTGCAGATCTGGGACCTGCGGCTGGAGGACTATGGGCGCTACCGCTGTGAGGTCATTGACGGGCTGGAGGATGAGAGCGGCCTGGTGGAGCTGGAGCTGCGGGGTGAGACCCTGCGGGGTGGGGCTTGGGGGCCGAGGGGCGGGGCTCCGTGAAAGCAGCCAGACCTGTGTGCTTTAGGCAGATAAACATTTACTCCTCAAAACAACTCTAGAAGGAAGCTACTGTTATCACCCGCATTTTACAGAGGAGGAAAACAAGGCACAGAGAGGTCAAGTAACTTAGCTGACGTCACATAGCTCATAAATGTCAAACAGGTATTTAACCCCAGGCAGTCAGGCTCCAGAATCCACCACCCTCTATACCCTCTTGCTCACACCCCAGTCTGAGAGGAAAGTGGGAACTGGTCACACAGAGACAGAACCGAGAGGGCTGATAGGCAGTAGGGATAAACGAGGCAGCGAAGTGTGAGTGAGAGGGAATGCTGGGGACCGGCACACTGCTGAGCCCTCATCTGGATGGTTCCACACCCTGAGTGGCTTGTAAACAACAGAAATTGATTCCTCGCAACTCTGGAGGCTGGACGTCTGAGACCGGAATGCCAGCGCGGTCAGATGAGGGCATCCGTCGGCCAGGTCGCAGACGTCTCTGGCTGCGTCCTCATGTTGTAGAAGGGGCCAGGGAGCTCTCTGCGATCTCTCTGATGAGCATGAATCCCATTCACAAGGGCTCCCCCTTCCTGCTCTGAGCACCGCCAAAGGCCCTGCCTCCTGATGCCCTCACCTTGGGGGTTGGGATTTAAAGCTATGAATTTGAGGAGCACATTGAGACCACAGCGCTGGCATCCTTGCAACAAGCCTGGGAATTAGGTATTATTCTATAGTTTGGGACATCAGTTGGCTGATTGATTCATTACCTTTACAACTAATAGATGTTTGCCGAGTGCCAGCCTAGTTCTAGAAGAGAGGTGTAATGTAGACTCTGCCTTGAACTTGGAGAATGGAGAGGAGATGACAGGTTGGCTGAGCTTCTCTGGCGGACCCGTGTGTGTATGTGTGCTGGGGAGCATCTGTCCCTCTGGAGGTGGGGACAGGGACTGAGGTCTCTAGGCAGCTGGGCCCCTGCCCACCCTCTGAGCCCCCTTTCTTCCTTCCCCAGGTGTGG